TCTCCACAATAGTTTCCCCTAGTAGTGCTACCTTAAGGTTATGTCTTGCAATAACATGGCTGATTGTTATCTGGCAGCTTTATGGACAGGAGCAGACACGTTGCTATTGCTCTCTCTGCTCAGGGGACAGTCACTCCCCCTTCCCTGCTCCGAGCACTGGTGTTAGGTTACTCCCATATGAACGCGGGGATCTCTAGGGTTAAGTTACTGCCCACTTTATTATATACGTGGTTACATGTACTTAGGGGGGCTTGCATGCCCAGAGACTATGTACATTGGTGTAAGAATATAATCTCTCTCTCCCACTCGGACCTGGTACCTGATACCATGGAGATGAGCACCCCAAAACTTTTGTCTGCCTCTGAATTTCTTCCCTTCAATTATACAACCCTTCTGGATGTGGGCTGGATCCCACAGGAGCTGGTGGGTTTGAGCCACCAAGCCTGGGGCTTGTATCCAATGCTTACCCAGCAGGGCCTCTGGGGTTTGCTCCTTCACGCATCCCCCAAAACAAAACCCTTCAAACTCACTTCCATTAAGTCCATTCCATTCACAGCGATCCTGAAGGACAGGTCAGAACTGCCCTCGTGGATTGCCCGGACGGTAACTCTATGGGAGTAGAAAGTCCCGCCCCTCTCCTGAGGAGCAGCTGGTTTCAAACTGCTGACCTTGAAGTAGCAGCCCAACGTGTAACCTCTATGCCGAGCCACCCCTGAGGCTGGTTCCACATTTCAAGCAGCTTCACGTGGAACTACGGAAGAGCGTGGATGGCTCTCACTGCATTGCAATCCGCCATATCACCGCACTGGATGCTTCTTAGAAAGCATGACAACAGTTGACCTTGAAAGACCTAGCAACGTATTGAGATCATACTCTCACTGAGAAACACAGAGCTCACTTGCAGCCAAAGGCATTCGAAGGGTCAGTAACTTGTAAACCTGCCAACAAGGACCATTACTCTCCAGCTCGGTGAGGAGAAATTGGGGGTCACATTATCAGCAATAATTTGGGGTGGGGAGGGATGACTGGGTTTACAACTGGATTCTCTCAAGATATTTCAAAACAATGATCACTGATCAAGAAAACAACTGGGCACTAGCAGTCTAGCTAGACTCGTAGTGACCCTATAGGGCAGGGTAGACCTGCGCCTGTGGATTTCTGAGACTAAATCTTCATGAGAGTAGAAAGCCTCATCTTTCTCCCGCAGAGCAGATGGCAGTTTTGAACGGCTGACCTTGTGGTTATCAGCCTGTTGCATATGCTGTGTGAGTACAGTGATGAGAGGGTGCTCACTGGGTCCTACTTCTCAGAAAGTCCTGTTGTCTCTTCGGCATCCATAAGATGCTGACCAATGTTTACTGGTAGACACACACAACTGGCATTTGACTGCTGGGTTTGATCTGATCTGTGTTCATCTTTTAGGACTTGGGGGGAATGTCCATAGGCAGTCTTTGTTTAACCTGTGATGGCTTTAAACCTTCTGGTATATGACAGTCCTCAACCCCCACCACGCCCACCTGCCTCAGGAAAAAATTTCAAAGGCCCTGAAATACGTTCCTTCATCTTCCGTGCTAAGACTTCCCGTGAAACATGCTGTCTGGTTTTTAACATTCCACCTCTTTTGTTCTCTGTTCTCAACTCCCAAGTACCATTTTTCTTTTCACCTGAGAGTGCCTATGGGCAGATGGAAACATTTCTTTACTGCAGCCAAAAAGTTAAAAAGAAATAACCAAAAAATGGGCTATGAAGGGTAACTGATGTGGACACAAAGGGTTAAAGAGCCAGGGTCCCCACAGTCAAGCCCTCCATGGAATCCGATGTATTCATACCAATAAAAAACTCACAACCGTGCTCAGGCCATAGTACTCAGTATGAGGATCACAGAATGACAAATTCGACTCGTAAAGCGATGTTATTTTTCCAACAACAAATCTGCGTTAAACCCACTGCTGCTGAATGGGCTTTGACTCACAGCAACCTTGTGAACCCAGAGCAGCCCTGTCCCTGCATCCCCAAGACGGCCAACCGGCCCATCTTTCTCTGAGGGGGCGACTGGTGGGGTCAGACCAGCGGTCTTTCAGTTAGCAGGTATTTAAACATGAAGCCACCAGGGCTTCTTAAACCTACACAAGACCAATGTCAGCCTCAAATTGAATTTTGTTTTCTTAGCAAAACATTTACCTCTTCTGCCAAGTCTCTATTTTATAGAAATTGAAATATCTACAAAATGTATCAGAAGTTCACATAATTACAAAGCTAGCTAGAATTTAGGGCCAACACATAACTGTTAGGATATGCAACTCATCTAGAAATGAACTAAAATGTTACTATTTAATACTATATTCGGAGGCAATGCTCATCAGCTTAACATTCGTGGGCACACAGGATTAAATGACAATACAGCCCTTGGAGAAAGAGCCCTTTTATTGGTTATTAAAGCAAAGTTCACATGAACCACATATTCAGATTTCAATGCCTCACTGTACAAGTTCTAGAGCCCTGGTGTCACAGTGGTTAAAGCACTTGGCTGCTAACTGTACGGTGAATCCAGCAGTCACTCCGTGGGAGGAAGGTGGGACATGCTGCCTCCACAAAAACTTCTAACTCGACCCAGGAGGCAAAGGGCATTTATAGAGGTCTAAGTACAGGAATGTACAAATGTAAATATATTTATATATGATGATGGGGATCTAGATCTATGTGCATATATTTATAGATTTAGTATTAAAGTAGCATAGACATTGGGTCTCTACTCAAGTACTCCCTCAATGCAAGAACACTGTTCTATTAAACTGGCATTCCATGATGCTCACCTTCCTGACACGATTGCTGAAGACAAAGCAGGTGCATAAGCAAATGTGAAGAAAGCTGATGGTGCCCAGCTACCAAAAAATATAGCGTCTAGGGTCTTAAAGGCTGGGCGATAAACAAGCAGCCATCTAGCTGAGAAGTAACAAAGCCCACATGGAAGAGGCATACCAGCCTATGTGATCACAAGGTGTCCATAGGATCAGGTATCAGGCATCAAAGAACCAAAAATCATAACATTGTGAATGAGGGAGTGCAGAGTGGGGACTCAAAGCCCATCTGTAGGCAACTGGAAACCCACTTACAGAATGGTAGCAGGGAGGAGGCGAGCCAGGCAGGGTGCAGTGTAGCAACGATGAAACATACAACTCTCTAGTTCTTTAATGCTTCCTCCCCCAACTATCATGATCTCAATTCTACCTTACAAATCCGGCTAGACCAGAGGATGTACACTGGTACAGATAGGAACCGGAAACAAGGGAATCCAGGACAGATGATCCCTTCAGGACCAGTAGTGAGAGTGGCGATACCAGGAGGGTGGAGGGAGGGTGGGGTGGAAAGGGGGAAC